AAATACATACATACACAAAAAAAATACATAGATAGAACTCAAATGATTTTACTTCATTCTATTTAATCTGTTCAGGCTGTGGCCTATCAAAACTGACATGTTTTTCTCAATTAACTTTTTTTTTTTTGCAATTTTTGTCAAAAAAGATCAAACAAGAGAAACACTGATTAAAACAGGAAAAGAGAAACAACATAATCTCAAGAAACATTTTTTCAATTAAAAACCAAATGCAGGTTATCCCACTGTCGCGAAACCCGAGAGATAAAAAAACAAAAAAACATAAACAAAAATGATCAAAAATGCATTGTATCGATTTTTTTTATTTGATTCATTTCTTTTCACTTTTTGTTCTTTGTTTTCATTTCTTCTCACTGTTTGTTCATTTTTGTTCATTTTAAATTTGTGTTCATGTTTGTTCATTTTTGTTCATTTCTTGTCATTTCCTGCATTTTCCTCCTATTAAAAAACATCTTACCACTCCAGACCACTTGCATGTCGACCCAACCACCGTGTGTGGGATGCGATTAATCATCCCATGGCTGTGGATCACCGACCCATGATGAATCCCATGGCCCAGCTGTCGTGCCTATACCGTGCACCTCATTGCTGGCTGCCGAAGTGCCTGCGGATTTGCTGACACACCATGGTTTTTCTCACCTTAAAATGGGAGATCTGGAAACTATGGCTTTCTCGAGGAGGACAATCTAGAAATGGCCAAGTTTGGATGATTTTGGGGTCCCCATTTTGGGGTCCCCAACCACATGTCATGGGATTCTGAACACCTAATTAACCTAATTAGACACCAAAGATACGATTCTCACTCTGCTTGTGCCAAAGAGACACTCAGCCGCTGGTCCCTCACCTAGCTGAGGAGAGGCAAAGGACCAATGCAGCGTCTGCAGACCTCTCGGCATAAGCAAAGGCCGTCAATTTTGTGGATCATCATCCCACAGTGGAATGACATGATTTCACATCCGTCCTCAATTTTGTGAATAAACATAATAAAACTTTGACTCAAAACCCATCTTCACAAAGATCACCATCACCCATCTGGATAAATGGTAAGAATTAACTAATCTGAATAGTTCGGCCATTTGGGGATCGTCGCCCCAATCTGTACCCATCATTTCAGTGACGTCGCAGTAAGCTCGTTTTAATTCAGCCAGACTATATCCTCCGATTCATGTATATATATATATATACATTCATTACGTATAAACACTGTATATACAGTATACAGTATGTCATACGTCACTATGATCTCGAAAGTATCATTCTGATATCCCTCTTCATATATGTATAACATTGTAAAATACATATATATATATATGTATTTACACATATTGGGGTTCCATAAAATGGGGATCCCCAAAACCATTGGTTTTAATTCATGGTCTAATGACTTGGATGATTTGGGGTGGGGATACCACATTTTGGAAAACCTCCATATATATATATATATGAATATATATAATATACACATTCTCATTCATATCATCATTTGCCCATTTAAGATCACCTTCAAACACAACCAGTGCTGCGGCCGCGATGCCTGCCGCTACCGCCAAAAACACAGTTCCAACGACGCGAATCCTTCACAACGGGCTGCGTTTAAGGAACAAATCACAGGAAGGCGCTGGAAAATGTTGGAAAACATGCATTGACCCAGTCAAACATTGGGTGTTCCTTTAACAGTTTCCTGAAGGTCCCTCTGTCAGGATCTGTTTGCTTCAATTGCCAGGTAGCCCAACTCCAAGATAAATTCCCATAACTTGGCAAAGCCCAAATGGTCTTAATATCTTGAGATCAACAATATACCCTCTAGCAATCAAACATGGCAATGGACAATCCCCATTTACAGATGATGTTCATTGATTTTCCCATGAAGACCAAAATTTATACTGTTGCCATGTTTGATTACCGGAGTGTAACCAACCAGCTCACTCCAGCACCACGTCAGAGCCAACCTTCTTGGACGAGGCATCGTGGCTATTTTCGTCTAAGTCTAGCTGTCTAGCTGTCTAGCTTTACCTTTCGAAGTGACAGAATGATGTTTCCCATGTGTTTGAGGATTGTGTAAAGATATTTTCCGGATGGAATTTTCCAGCGAGTCGGAAGTCATTTTTTGCGGTCATCCACCTACCAAACTCATCTTTTGATACTTGAAGATTCCCCTTCTGTGTAGACCCATAGAACATCCTACTTGGCTTGGCATTTTGGGTCATGGATCATGCTTGAGCCAACGACTCGCTGGGAGGTTCCAAGAAGTTGCAGCTCGGCTCGTTCTCAACTGATGCTTCATTGGGAGTGTCCATACATGGAGGATCCCCATAATGGATGGTTTATAAATGTTTATACTGGAAAATCCGATTGAAATGGATGATTTAGGGGTACCCCCATTTGGAGCTTTCCAATTGGAACTCTCAGATGGCAAATCCTCTGGGTCACTTCGAGTAGACGTGGAATATTCACCAACGTGATCCAATGAGAGAGTCAATTAGAACACTGGCCTGTTGAAGACGTTTAAACTACGTACAGTAAACACCCCAAATTCTGAACAGAAAGGATATGATACCCTCTGGTAATTCAACATAGCTATCGAAACTCACCATTTTGGACAGGGACATCATCGAAAATTGGGTATCGCAACCAATGAAGGGTCAACCCAAACCAGCCACAGGGTGTAGATACTACAAAATGACGTAGCCTCCGGTTTTCAAAGATGGCGTGCTTTTTCCAAATCCATCATAGATGATCTCTTCCCATTCAACTTCCATTTACAGGTGATTTCCCAGCCGTGTATCTGTTTGTTGTTTTTAGTTCTTTCGCATTAAGAACTGGCCACCATTAAAAAGAGAAGCCGAAATGGTCACCCACCTGATCCGGCTCGAGGACTTTCGTCCTCAGTTTCCGAAGCCCCATCTGCTGCTAGCTGTATCAAGAAGTGTTTTTGTGGAAACAGAAATAGTAACAAACTCTTGTAACAAACCTAAGATCTTGTACAGTACATGCCATGCCATCAAGTTCAGGCCCATCTTTCAGCAGCATTCTTACTGTTACAGTTTGATTGTAAGATTCGCCCCAACTGGCTGGAGCACGCTGAGAGTCACGCTGGGTAGCTGCCTGGTGTTTACTAACAATGGCCCTTGGTGATCAGGTGCGACTCATGGCCATTTTTTCAGTGACAGTGACAAGTTCGCAGCTACGTAGCCACAAACTTGTTACATGTAGATCACCAGAAACGGGTGGTACAAATACACCATCCCCATCCATCCTCAAATTTACCTGGTTGTTGTTATTGTCGTGTTCCCACAGTAGATAATCAAATACAAGCATGTTCACCAAGCATCAAGAATTTCATCGGTTGTTCCTGAGTTTCAAGCGTCATCGAAGGTGGTTCCTGCGCAAACAAAGCACCGATTCCCAACATGCCTTGGATGACCATGGCTACCTTGTTGGGGATGACACCCTAGCAATGCGAATCAAATCTCCAACATCCAGTCATATCTGAGTCAGATCTGAATCATATCTGAGTCATATCCACTGGTTGGTGGTTTCAATCCCCTTGAAAAGTATTAGTCAGATTGGATCATTATCCCAACTATTGGGGAAAATAAAAAATGTTCCAAACCACCAACCAGTCCATCATGATCATCTTAGTCTCTTTTGCTTCCTTTCCTGCCAAAACACCCAGGCGAACGTTGGAGACGTTCCAGTGGCGACTCTTGCTCCGTCCTGCCCCATGGCCCGGTAGAAGTCTCGCAAAATCAACTGCAAGGCCTGGCGGCCAAACATGGTGCTGAAGATTTGACTACCATCTTGGGAAACTCTTACTTAGTAGCTCCCTTGCTGCCCATTTTGTATGTGGGATAATATGGATATATATATATATATATTACTTATCATATGTACAATTATACATATGTAATTGATGTGTGTATGTATACAGTATACACATACGAGTACATACAATTGTCGATGGCCATTTCAGGAACCTAAATCGGAGGTACCTACCATATATAAGGCTTATATAAGGCCTAAATTGCCTAAATTTCAGGGAATATCCCCACAAAATATGGCCAGACATATGGTACTAACGTACCTCCATTTTAGGATCCTGGAATTCCCATTGAAATTATATATATATACCCTCTGGTTATTTAACAGTTCGCCATGGAAAATCACCATTTTTAAGAACGGTAAACTATCTATTTCTATGGGCCATGGCGTAACCATGGCTATGTTAGTCATAACCAGAGGGTATCATTAACCACTATTAATGGTTGGTTAATGATGGTTTCCCTTATTAACCATGGTTAAATAACCAGAGGGTAGGGATTTTCCACATGGATACCCCTGGCGCCGAACCGCTCCCTCCACCACATCGGATCGTTTTTTTAAGCGCAGCTCTGCTCGGCAAGACGGTCGCTGAGCATCACGGCGTCTGGTGAACTGCTGACTGCTGACCTGAAGAAATGGGATGAAAACACGACAATCCCCGAATTGGTTCCAGGATGTTGCAGGATGTTGCAGAAAACCATATAGAAAACGCCTAAATTTCATGGAGACAGATGGTGTAGATTCCGTAGATTTTCACAGAAAGAACATGAGAAATCCGTTGAGGAAACCAACTTGCTGGATCCAAGATTCAAAGGAATAAAGGGCATGCCCCCCTCTAAACGCGTATACCGTATACCCATGTATACCCTCCAAATAAAGGGTATGGCACAAGCCCATAGCCTTATCCCTTGGCAATGTTACGTTCAGATCCCCCAGGTTCCTACCTCTATCACTAATTTCATCCATGATATACACTCCGATAATCAAACATTTCAATCAAACAAAGAAACAACTCAATCGAGATGGGTTTGGTAGAATTTTCTCATTGTAGCCTTTATATGTCGTTATGAGGTTTTAGACTTATTTCAAACCAGTGGATTGGGTGGTACGCGGACCCAGTCCTGCTTGGCTCCCCACCTGAAGCTTCATGCGAGACTCGTCTAGGTCTCTGCGTGCTTTGCGGCGCTTTTCCAGACTTCGAGGGCCTTCATCACCGGATTGAGTCAAGGGTTTACAGAAAACCATAGGTTTTTAACACAAAGTACAAGGGCTACAAGGGCTTCCTATAAATCTTCCTTAACAGCCTGAAACAAAATCTTGGACATCAGCATCCAACTCTTCTGGCAGGTCATCGGTCATCCCCCAACAAAATACGGCTGTCGAACATCATCTTTTCGGCATGGCCCAACATCATTTCAACACATGTTTTATAAAAGGTTTCACCAAAGGTAGTCATGACTGACACCCTCATGGATTTATTTGCAGACATCAAATATGGGTGCTTGGAAAATATCGAAATTCATCTAATTGACCCCATTTTACCCATGTTTCTCAGGAGCTCGCAAACCTTGCCTTGAGTTCCCCATCCAAGCGTTTCTGCTGCTCGGAGATCTGCCGGTCCTGACGAATCGGAACACGTGGCGCTGGGGATTGATGTTCAAGGAGTGGCAATGGGGATTTTGCTTGCCAACATTGAGATGTTCCATGTTTTTTCCTAAGGAATGGAGCTTGCGATTGCTGGGAGGATTTTCCCATGAACACATATGAATCAATATGAACACTATATAGTCACTAGGACTTTCCCAAACAACTTTGGAGCTTCCGCAAGGCGACTTGGACGTCTCCTGCTCAGCCTTTGCATCCTCCAGCTTCTCGTCCAGCTCCTCAAATCAGCAATGGATCCAGGGCTTCATCAATGGTGGAGGCTATAGGATGGTGGAATCCTAGGTTTGGTCCAATGAAAAACTATCCATCCGCGAACCATTGATGGAGGCTGCATTTCTTGTAACAAAGCACATCACATTTCAACATTATTACACACTATTGTTTCTTTCCGTGAAGCAATCACTATATTAACAATTACTGTACTGTTTTTATTGTAATATAAATATATAATGTACACACAAGATCACAAAAAACACATACATATATCCAAATCCTGGCAATTCCTGGCATGTCAATGATTCCAAAGCCCACTTCAGACGACGCAGCTCGAAAACCATGTCTCCTGCTCTCGCTCCAGTAGCAATCGCTGCGCTGCATCTTGCTGCGCCTCCAAGGAGTCTGCCAAAGTGCTGCAGCGACGTCGCATGGCCTGATGTCATCGGGGATTTTCCGGCGAGTCGGTAGGCATTGATAGGCACCCAGCGATTTATAGCGATGAAAAAAACCGTTGTTGTTTCCGAGGAATTGGTACGGTATATTACCTGGTATATTGTCATCATATATGATTAATAAGCGGACAAGATTTACATCTTAAATTTAATGCCATGTCCCCTATCCGGTGTGAGGATTTCAGTATTCCAGGAGGTATCACAAATGGGGTATCGGTATAGGGTCGTCCCCGATCGGTTATGAAGGTTTTGTGCAACTTCAGAAAGGCCAAGGCAAAGCAAGACTAAATTAGTATTCTTTTTTTTTCGGTTACTCATATGTATATATATATATATGAATCATAGATAATATTCATTGCAAGAGACTGATGATAGGAGATAAACTGAGTTTACGAAAGTCCAGTACATTATTATTAATAAGATGTCCGCTAGCATCCACAAACTTTGCCTGACATTATTATGAACTGGTCAGACCAACAAAAGGCATGTCCGCCAGGCAGCGCATGAAGGAGGTCCTGTGCATACCGCACCCCCCAAAACAACAATTTTAACAATGAGAATGATCATATATGATCATGATATATCCCTGGAATTTTGGGCACCCCATTTTCAAATAGACCCACCAGAACATCTAAAAGTACAATGGAAAAGTTGCCCCGCCTCCAACTTTCCGGTCATTTCGACCTTCTTCTGCCGGAAGACACGTTGCTGGTCTTCCGTCCAACGGAAACGCTGAAATTCCGAAGACACTTCTCGCTGCTGTAAAAAGTACTTGCCAGCCATTTTGCCTTGCTCTTTTTGTCTTTTTTTTCAGCACAAAAAATGACAAGTTGTTTGCAAAACGGACATAAAACTAACAACTTGAACTGCCCCAACCCCTTGTCTTCCTCCTGTGCCTGTAGTGCAATTTCGAAACCTCATGCTTAGATTTGCAAGAAAAAACTCATAGCGTCTAATAGCTACTATAAATATTAGAGCCAAGTTACCGAAAGGAAAGCAACAGGGCTCAACTGCCACCATTCCCAGATCTGGTTCAAAGGTGTGGCCATTCATTGAGACAGGTCTCCTGTCAGTGTCTCGTTCTGCCCATTCGCTGGCGCACATGGCAACGGCAGGATTTCCATAGACCAGGAAGGTCAAAGGGATAGCTAGGAGCACGTCGACGCTATAATGCAGCTTGCTTCCTCCAAATCGCTGGCTTGGTTTTTGATGTTTTTTGGGGAGGTTGAAAGGACACAATTCCAATTTTTTGCATCAAATGTTCATCATCCAATCCCTGAATCAAAAGGAATGAACACTTTCCAACCACAACCCAGCACAGAGACAAGATGATGACTGGTGATTGTGACTGGCAGGCTAGCAAAAAACACAAGACCCTGCCTTCAATGACTATGCCCATGCCCCAAGAAGTCAACAAAGTCAAAACATGTTTTTTTGCTCAATGGATTCAAAGGGAACATCTGCAGAAAACCATGCAGAGACTTGGCGCTCAATATATTTTTTCCCGCACATGTTCCCATCCATTTCTGGGAATTCAAATCATCCAGTAATATCCAGTATTTTGACAGACCCGGCCTACTGCCAATGCAACGTCAGCTGCCAGAATTGCACAAAGGATCAAACCAGTCAACCCAAGTATTGCGGAGCGCCGCTCACGTCTTACTTCATCGATTCGTGCGGACACCTCATGGGAAACGTCAGAGTCAGAGTTGATGTTCATTGAGAGAAAAGCGCCAGAACTTGAAGTACACACTGGTAATTTAACATAGCTATTGAAAATGGCCATTATTAATGGGTAAATCCACTATTTCTATGGTCATTTTCAATAGCTATGTTAGTTTACCAGAGGGTAGCCACATGTTAGGAAAGCTCCGCAAAAACATTCAGACGTTGGTGTACCAGTGACCATGTTGGATGCTTCAAACTGTCCATCCCGTAACCAGTAAATCAAGTGCGTTACAACGCATATTGCATACATAGATTCATATTGTTGTATCTGGTTAGTGAGTGGGTGGCATCCATTGATATATGTATATATATATATATATGTCACGTCATTTATACACATATTATGTATATACATAATAATTCTAGTATAAATCACTTAATGGGGTCCTTTGGTTTTGGAATAGTTTACCCATCTTGTGCAGCCCAGAAACAGCATCATATGCACCCAAACAGACCAGGACAGTAGTACTTGTCGAACAGCAAAACAGTGTATCAGCACACAGCTGCTGCGGAGCCGCTCGACCCAAGAGCCTCGAAAGTTGCTGTGATTTTGATGGGGGAGATGATGACTTCACCACCAATGGCAATTTTGATGGATTTTTTTTGGGGGGAACTCTCAGACAAGAGGAAAAGGCAATTTTGATGGGGAACATGATTTTGAAATGCGCAATTGCATGCTGTGCTATTGGGCAAAATGAGCTTTGAAAGAATCGGATTTCGGGGACACCCAAATGAAGCGTTGGGACGTTCTGAAGATCGAAATGAAGCTGCAGCAACCTGCTTGAGCTGACACTTTTATACAGATGTTTTAAGGCTTAATCTTAAGTACTTGCTAATGTCGTCGTTTTTATGCCCTTCCATTTCTCAAACTGCACAAATGCAGCTAAAAAATTGTCCTGCAAACGATTCAAGCACCGTGTGGCCATAAACTTTGCACCGTGAGGAGAAAGATATCCACCATGGAAGTGATCGTCCCAAGGCCCTCACCTGGTTGCTAAACCGTAGAAGGGTTGCCTACCAATGGCTGGATGATTTAAATATCCCTATCTATCTATACATATATATATATATTCGTTATTAATATTCATCATATTCATTTCATTATATTCATTATATTTCATTATTATATATTCAAATATATTCAAATCATTCAAAACGTTGAAATCAGTCAGATAGACTCAAATCATATCCCATATATCACCCCCTCTCTCTCTCTCTACCATTTGTACATGTAATATATATATATATTGACATATTGTCAACACTGCTGGCCTAAATTGATTTCGAAAGTGCTTCAGATCACCAAATTCTGTGCCTTAATAGCTCATGTGATGGGAATTCTGCGGCATCATATTGCGGCATCATATGTTTTCAACATGAAATTTCATATGATGTCGATAGATTTATAAATGACTTTTGTATCCAATAGAAAAATCCCCAGGGTCGGCATGTCGGCATCTGCAACCAGCTGGCTGTTCTGCTGGCGAAAGTACATCAAGCCATGAGGTCCTAGGCGTCGTTGACACCCCATCCAACCACTGGCATCGGGCAGCACCGTGGACCAGGCGAGAACGCCTCGAAAGGGCGCAGCGTTGGGCGCAACGCAAGTTGCGCTGGGGTTTCTTATGGACTGCGCTGGGAGCATGGAGAATTGAATGATTCGCAAAAAATGGGGATGAACACCATGAATATTTTTTTTCGGACACTAACAGTACCGATAAAAAGAGGTCAGCCCATGTTGGTTTCAAATCAAAACCGCCCGCTGCCCCTGGCCTTTGAGGATGGCCAGCACCGTGGCTGTGAGGGCCAAATGCGTCCAGGATTTTAAGTCGTTGATTCGCACCAGCTGAATGAGAAGGGAGATGATCACCTGGGATCACAGATTCGAGGCACGCAACATCAATATATGTTCGAGTCAACATACCCAATTTGTGTATTGTTGTTTGCATGTTTTGCCATGATATTTACATTTAACTTAAAAATGAAGCTCTTGCCAAAGATGTATCGCTGTATCACCATGTTACTATGTTTGGACAAAAACAACCCAAAGTGGATCCAAGTGGCACAATCGGTGAGTAGGTCCACCCAAACTTCGGGAGCCCAGCTCAAACCTTCTAAAGACTCAGCCAGCTGCGAGCCTTTCAGCAGTTGATGCAAGGGATCTTCCAAGGATGTACTCCCTACGCCCTTCGAAAAGGCTGCAGCACTGGCTGCATTGTGCTGCGCTGCATCACCTTCAGCAGCATCTGCCCACTGCAAGTACCTGCTTTTTTTTGGTGAAAAAACAGTTGCTTGATGATGAGAAGATATTAAAAGGGGGTTCTAGCACACAAAATGTAGGAAGAATCATGAATAAATGAACAACTATTTCCTAACTAGACTTCCCAAATGGTGGGTGAACCATTTCGGAACCAACAAATCACCTCGAATCCCATCCAAGGTACACGCAGGTGGCGGAGTAGAGCCCCGCATTTTGACAAAACAGAGCTGAGAGCAGCAGCGCCACTGGGGCCAACCACTTCCGCAGTGCGGAATTCATGATGGGAGCATCTGCCCCATCTAAAAGCAAGGAATATTGAGGAGCGCCATTGCGAGCCAGCATGGTCAACTCGCTTCAGCCATGACCACGGAAGTGGAATACAATGCGGCCGATATGTGAGGACCTCCAAAGATGAATAAAGATGATATGTGAATGATGCAGTCTGAGAAGAGTTTTCCTCCAAGCTGATGGGGATGATACAACCAATGATACAACCAACAAAAAGCCTCTGGTCTGCAGATTAGATCTGCTTTTCTAAGAGAAAAGGGCTTGAGGTTTCTGCAATGGCAGGTTTCTGCAATGAATCTGATCCAAGAATCTGATCCGCGGAGCTTGCTGCTGCTTGAGCAGTTCAACATCAGGAATAAACATATTCTGGATAGGAGATAGGAGAGAAACCCGAAGAATCAAGCGGACTTAAATATGTTTGCTTTGCGCATATTGTACGCCCTGATATCAGAAGAACATGTTTGATACACCCTTGCATGAGATCTCGGCAAGAGGTTGTAGCAAAAGAAAACCAGCTGCATCTGTCTCAGAATTTCGTACCAGCAACAAGGGGATGAGCTGATGAGCTACCAAAACATGACTAGCCCAGTCCAAAGCTACTGTCCAGGTGATCGGGAAAATGAACTTCCCAACCCAGAAAAAACACATATTATCGAACAGTTAACTCATTGAACTAGTTTACTAATTGAGTGCTGTAGTGTCATGAATATCATGGTAGTCTGATAGTTACCATTGTAATCATCACAGTACTTGTACAATTTCATGCTCATCACTATAGTTACCCTCCAGTAAATTTTCACATAGACCCTGGCAGAGGTAACTATAGTACTATTTAATTAGACCATAATTCATAACATTAATAATTCTATAGTCAATAGATGTTAATAATTTAATAGTTAGTTGTGATATGTACTGATAACTATGGTACTCATAACATGAATGACTAGTTAGTTATCAGCACGTTATCATTATCTCATTCTCCCACACTTTCCAACACTCTTGGTGTCGCCTCCTTATGCGTCGACAGGTCTTCCGCCTCCCGGCGCAGATTCGCTGCCTCGCCCGTCAAGGACCGAAGGGGAGGCATGGCGAGGCAGATGGGCAAGTGTTTCAATGGGTTATACCTCCCAGGTCCCGGGCATCAATGAAATATGGGGATAATATGAGATTTCAGGGTGAAAACTAGGCTCTTTTGTGGGATGAACATTTGGGTTTATGGTGACTTTTCATTGGACTTTATGAGATATACTCTCTGGTTATTTAATGGTTTGCTATGAAAGGCATGGCCCAAAGAAATAAATACTAAACATGATGTTTTACCGAACTTAAACATGGTGATTGTCCAGTTCGCTACTTTGAATAACCAAAGGGTATACCTCCCATGATCCCCCTCTTTTGACTTATAGCCACATTGTAATATCAGTGTTGTAACTATTGTAATGGTATGCTAGTTAGGTACAGTAGGTGATTACATTGATTACTAGTAAATGCGGTTGTAACCACCATTATCCCTCATTGTACTATATAACATGGCTTATGACCACAGTAAATAACTCATAACAACATGAGTAATTATACTGGTTGTGATGAGGTTATTATCCATCATGGATACTATGATATACTTGGGGATAATGGGGGTTATAATCCACGAGGCACTATCCGATAGATTTTCTTTTTTTGCAGGGTGTCAAGGGCATCGATGGAGGTTGATTTAGTAACACAAGGATAGCACCCGTCCAAAATTGGCTCAACAGAACATTTGCAGGACCCTCTATTCATTTGAGTTGTTTTGTTTATATATTTATCTATTTGGAGCAATAACATGCAATAACCATGGTTTCTCTACTTATTTTGGCATTTGCCAGAGTGCCAGGGTCTTGACTTACACAAGTTCGTGCCCAACTTCGACGAAACTCAGCCAGCCTCCACAGTATCAGCAGCAGTAGGGCCTTGAAACATAATCTGATGGGCGTCAAAATACCAGGAGAGCTGTACAGCATTCCAAACCAAACGTATTCGATATGATTCGGTCAGAGTAAAACATGTAACAATTGCTTCACAGCTTTGACTTGCGCACATTCTGGAAGGATGTCATTACAAAAAACCACGTGGAAGGATGAGAACAAGCGCATTCTGAAGCCAATCTCCAGCCGGGCACTTGGAAGAAGGGGAATAAGCTGTCCAACAAGAACTACTGTGGATGGATGAAATCCTGCACCACCAAACGGATGGGTGAAACATGTTGAAACCCTTATAGATAATGGCATAAACCATCTATCAACTGGTGCAGGATTTCGCAACCATCCACAGTATCATGTTCTGCTCCCTTCAACCGAGTCACTTTGAAGCGAGCTCCTTGAAAGCTGCAGCTCCAGCTTCTCATTCTCGAGCTACAGCCGGGTCCATTTTGCAGGATTGTGAAAGGATGGCGAAACCCTGCTTTCCTCTAGTTTTTCTATGTTTTGGTCATAAATCAATCCAGTAAAACTTACAGTAAAACTACTGCAGTAAATTATACACCATATTGATGGATAAGGAATCGTCATGATCCATTCAAAATGTATTGTAAGTTGCAACCTTGTTACTCCCCCGAGCATGCATGTGCCCGCAAGAGATCCTGATTGAATGTAAACTCATCTAATTTGGGTATGGGTCAAAACCTAGTTCATCCCTCCAAAAAATGGCGGCATTACCATCTCTTGTGGGGATGAAAATTCGTAAAACAACAGCCATTGTGTTCATCAGATTTCATCAGGGATATCAGGGTACTGATCGGGTTTTGATCCATTTGATCCACCAGACCTGCAGGGATTCAGCTTCATGTCGCAGGCGGGAGACCTGAAGCTGTCAACAGCCCAGGGGAGTTGGTGGGCTGGGGAACAGCAAAATAGCAGGGAAATAAATAACTGGAAAATAGCTGGGAAATATGGTGAAATATGGATGGATCTGGATAACTATGGATCTTCATCTCATCCATCTTGATGGCACTTGAGGGGACTTGACATGTTTTGACGCATCCCATCACCTGTCAGCGTTCAACTGGGGATTACCCCTTCAAACAAACAGTGGGAAAGGACATCAATGCCAAGGAACCCATGGTTCCAACCACCCAAAAGGCTTGATGAAGAGATATACTTCGATCAGTGGTGCTATCACGGTCCAACTGCTTGTGGTCTAACGTTGAAGGGACAAATGTGCCTTCAGGATTTTCACGGTGCTTCAATATTTGTGCGCATTTGGATTTGTTTGAAAATGGGTGCCCCTTTTAATCCACTGGAACATTTTTCAGACATGGGTCTCTGTTTTTAGCTCCCCAGTAGATTCTTCATGATTCCTCCCAGTCCCTGCCTCCTTCCTCCTCTGGATCAGCTCTACCTGGTCGAGAAATCGAGCACGCGGTACCCCCAAACCCTCCGTGGGACTAACCGGTCGACGACCGGAAACCATTGAGACTTGCGATCCCCGACATGGATTGGTGGCTGCAGTCCTCATGAAAAAGTACCGTAATGTTGTTCCCCATCTGCCAGGTGAGGGTCTCTAGATGTCTCTAGATTTTATCAGAGTTGTTTCCTTCTCCTCCTCCCCCGGCAGCCTTGGATCTCAACTGCGAGTTCCGGATCTCAGTGGGCACTGCGCCAGATCGCAGCCCACTGAGATCTGGCGCTCGCGGTTCAGGTCCGGCAGTGCCCATGTCAGAGAGAATGTCAGAATAAATGCCAGATAGAATGCCAGAATAGAATGTCAGATAGAATGGCAGAAAGAATGTCAGAGTATATGCTAGCAAGATCTAGAAAGAATGTCAGAATATATGTGTATATCCAATATATTATATACTCCAGATGGTATGTCAGAAAATATGTCAGAATAATGTGTGAGGGTGGGGATCACTCGAAGAGAGTAATTTGTTTTCTCCGCATTGTAATGATACCCAAGGAAAAACAGCTTGTATAAGCCCAAACAGGTCCATACCATACAATCCCTTCCCCACCAATAAACACCCCCCAGAAACCATGGTTTACTGAATTTCAACATCTTTGCGACCATTTAGGGTGTGTATATTTTTTTTCAAAAAATAGGGGTGATGGGATTCATCAACTATCAAACACCATGGGAAAATCCTACTATATGAATCACATTATTAAATCACCATGAAATCACCATGAAATCCCATGAAATCACCATGAAGTCACCATGAAATCCCATGAAATCACCATGAAATCCCATGAAATCACCATGAAATCACCATGAAATCACCATGAAATCACCATGAAATCCCATTTGGTGAGTTCAATCAAAGCACAACAAACGAACTGGGCACCTGTTTGTCGTTGATCATTTCCTTCAATGCCTGGATCGTCTTCTCCGCCTGGCGTCTCGGGATAGGTGTTGCGAATGTACGTGGTGTTACTACAATCCCATAGGATCCATGTATGGTATATATGCTAACATTTGGGGTATATTGATGGTAAATGTTACCATATATAGCATACATGGATCCTATGGGAATGGTCTTTTTGCGATATTTATGGATATCTTATGATATTTTGGGTCAGATGTTCGGTTTAGTCTGTCAGATGTCAGATGTTTGTTTCTATGGAAACTTAGACTCAAGGACGAATTCAATCAGACAACTTCTTGTGGGTCAAATATCCCCGAAGTTTGACTCTTTGACCCATACAAACAAGAATTTTCAGGTCCGATGCCCAAAGGCCATGAGTTCCCAGCCACAGAACGACCGTAAGTGGAGAAGAAATGCTATCCCTGTTGGTTGATCGGTGGGGTTGTACCATCCAATGTGTGATGACCATCCGTTGCAGGACTCATTAGGCAACCAGGAGAACGGCAAATGAATTATCATTTCACTGGTTTCACTTGTTTCACTTGCAACCACTGTATATTTCTTCCACAAAACATGCTCATCCAATATCATCCAATGTCCGGCAAAACCGGCCGACCTTGTGTATCCGCTCGTCTGCTTCAGTGCGAGTCTCCCTCGTTGCATACGTTGAGTCATGGGAAGTCTTTTGAGGCATGTACCAAGAATACAGCTTGAA